TTCTCTTGCCTTTCAATGCATCTCTCTAAATAAATACTACCTTTACTAACAAAAAAAAAAGAAAATAACATTTACAAAAAATTTTTTTTAAAGGGAGGGACTGGGGATTGAACCTGCGCATGCTAAGCGCACCCTCTATCACTGAGCTATACCCTCACCCCCTCACTTCTATATATTAAGCATTCTTTGACAAAGCATATCTATACTTTCTAGGAGCTTATAATCTAACGTGTTTTAAGATGTGTGTGTTTGTAAGCACTATAATCAATAAAAAAGATGCCAGCCTAACAGCATGAGAATTTAGAGGGAGAATTTTAGTGGGAGTTTTTTAAGATTTTAGGTCAAAAAGATTTCATGAAGAAGCTAACATTTGTAGTGTGCTTTAAAGGCTGAAACGAAATTGGGCAGTTAAAATCAGGAGCACATTTTTGGCAAAGGGAATAGAGTGAGTGGATGTGGGAAAGACAAGCAGTTTTCATAAATGAAATCTAGGAGAGTTGACCTATTTAAAGGAGGTTGGGGTGGACAATTCAGACCCTTGAAGACCTGGCTAAGGAGATGAAACTTGTTTTCTACCTTTTCAAATGTTTATGATAGAATTGTAGCATTTTGGATGCTTTCCCTTGGGCAGTTTAGCATGTTACATAAAGTCTGCCTTCTCAGACTAACAAAAGTATACGTATAATGTGATATTTTGCCATTGTGCTGCATTTCCCAGGGCTATATTTCTTTGCTACTGTGATCCATGGCAACAGGAAAAGCATGTTATTAGCTATGAGTTAGGCCCTACTTCAGTCTTCATTTTACACATGAGGGAACCAAAGCAGAGAGAAATAAGTTGTCCTTGGTGATAGTCAAGAAGGGAAACGTGGACCAGACCCAGGCAATTTGTCTCCAAGTCTGTGTCCTTGTGTAGTAGTCAGAGCTGCCTCACCATGTGGTATTTGACATATATTGCTTTTTGTTATGCAGTACATAATGTTAGTGGGTTTTTTTTAAGATATCCCCCCCATTTTAGTGTTTTTTAAGTTCTTCACTTAATTACTATTATTATTATTAATTATTCAATATTCTTTCAAGAAATAATGCTGATAATGCTTGAGCCATCCACTCTGCCTAAGTACTGGCTTATAGATTCTGGAGATATAAGGGAAATATGAAAGATGGATTCCTTTCTGTAAGTTTACATTCTAGTGGGGGACATTGTGAATAAGTAATTTCAGGCTCTAATCAGTGCCCAGTGTGCTATGAGAGTGACACTGGGGACTATGACTTAAGGCCATCAGGGCAGGGCTCTCTGAGGAGGTAAGACAAGCTAGAGATCTGGAAGGGAGGGAACAGTTTGGGAAGGAATCCAGACAGAGAGAAAGCTGGTGTAAAGGTCTTGATTCAAAGAGGAGCTTGGTGTATTCTAGGAATTGAAGTTGCGTATGACCGAAGCATAGTTAGTTAGGAGAGTGGCAGAAAAATGAAGTTGGAGAGGTAGACCTAATCAAAAAATTTTTAAAGCTTAATCATTTTTTTAGATACCTAAGGGATATTGCTTTTAAAAAATTTTTTTTTTTAATATATAGGGTTTAGGACAATTCACCTTATTTTCTTCAAATGTAATTTTTCACATCTCCCTGAGATGAGCTTGATTTGGTATTTTTTCCTCCACTTGCTGACGTCCGTGTATCTCCCATTTAAAATATCTTCATTTCCTTAATAGTTCTTCACTTTTATGCATTCTAATATTTTCCCTTGTCTTCTGTGTGCCAAAGTTCTGTGAGGATTTCTTAACTCCTTCTAATGTCTGTGTCTGCAGCAAAATACAGGTTCTTTTTGCTATATACAGGTAAGGGACTAGGTTCATTACCAGTTTAAGGAGAAGGTTACTAAATACTGAGTCATCAGCAACAGTTTTTCTTGCTCTAACTAGGGCATTCTTCTGCTCTGACTCAAGAGGAAGGTCCTGCTTTAGCCAAGTCTTCTGTCATCATTCTTTCAAATACGATTTCATATTAAAATAAGAGCGTGTGACTTTTAAGAAGAGAGGGTGTTTTACAAAATTTAAATCTCATTTGCATTTAATAACATATGAAGAAATTAAGAAAGCAGGTTAGCAGAATTATTAGGTGATGAGAGATTTTTTCTTTCTTTTTTTTTTGTAAATATTCTGAATAACTTTATTAGGGCTTGTAGAAAGAGCTTTTCCATGTTTCATAGGAAGCTGTCATAATCAGTTTTATCCCTTTCACCCTTTTTCAGGGAGCAGTCTTACATGGAAAGCGTTGTGACTTTTCTGCAGGATGTTGTGCCTCAGGTAAGTGTCTGTGTGGTTTCAGAAATAGTAGGTTTTACTCTTGGTCAGGAAAGCTCTGAAGGGCTGTTTCCTAAACTTGACATGAGTACCATCCACTTCGGAAAGACTTGATGTTTTTGCATGCCCAGCATGCAAAACGTGCCCAGCAGGAGAAACTGTACTTGCCGTCATTATGAGATGTGCCTTGGTTTTATGCTGACAGAGGCACAAATATTATTCCTCAGGACTTGCTTTACTGAGAGGAATCAAGGTGAGGTGTTACTGAGAGATGGGACATGGGACTCTCTTTTTGGGTTCTGTTTCCAAAATTTTTCTCTTGTCCTGGTTAAATGTTACCTGTCAGACGTGAAAAAAGCAACATAATTAGATATTGTATTAACTAAATACCATCCCAAGTACAAATCTGCACCATTTCATCTTGAGCAGGAATTTTTATGCCAAGTAGCACTTGCCTTGTTCACTCGAGGAGAGGAAGCCCTTTACTGTTCTGTCTATATAAATGTAAGAATGAAGAATGAGAGCAGCCCTCTTGGGAGCATCTCTAGTGCCCTGTCGCCCAGACTTAAATTATCAGAGATTATCACTTGGCACACTTGTTAAAAATATTAATTTCCAGGCTTCTCTCCCAAAGCATTTGACTCCGTGGAATGGAGGTGGCATTGCATCTCTAGTAAAAATCTCAGGTGATTCTTTTGATGCAGTAGTGTTGGGAGGCCCTGTTTAGCGGAACTACTGAAGGGAAAGGTTTCTGTGTGTTCTCTTGTGGTGATGTCAGCGTTCTGACTGCCATGGCATCTATAAACTGCACTGTTCATAAAGGACATTCATAGGTCCAGTGTCCCAGCTTTATGAGAAAGTCCTAGAAAAGTCTACAAAGTCTAGATTTCAGTTGTATTAAACAAATTGTATTTGTCAAATAGGACAAAGTATCAAGGCATGCTGTTATTCCTAGATTATGTTCAGTCAACTTTAATGAAAACAGAGCACGGTGACAAAGTGTGGGGGGCATGTAAGGAAAAATACATGATTGCTTGCTTTGAGGAGCTGAGTAAAGAAGGGAAGTCAAGTTGCTTGAAACAGTCAGAGATAATAGCAACATATCAGTAACTGTTACACATGGGAGTACTGACTAAATATTTAGTTGCTAAGGGAATGCATAGCAAGGAAAGAGTGAAAGAGTCACGTTCCAAAGGACATTGGAAGTAGCATTAATTGAAATGAATGGAAAGGCTGGGTATTTGATATTGGAGGACACTGCCTTGCTGGGTATGGCAGACAGCAGAGTTGTAGCACCTTGTACCCTGTACAGCCCAGGCTTGGACGGCAATCTGGGGCTGAGATCCAACTTACTCTTCTACAAACTGCATCTTCCTCTCAAACCCTGAGCCCTGACACGAGGCTGGTTCCAAGGAAGGGGCATTTCACAATTTTGGTAATTTGTCTGCCTCTAGATTGACCCTTTATCAAATTTTTACAAAGGCACTTTTTGTGCTAGTGGAAACCCTGTGTCACATGCAGTTTTTGCTGGCTGGAGGAGAGAGGCTGCAGTCAGAGGCTTTGAGGGAATAGTGGAGAGATGGCCAGAGAAACAAGAATACTAGATGGAGTAATAGATGGAAAACAGGGGGCTGCTAAAACTGTTAAAATGCTGGAAGGTAGACGTTTAAGGTCGTTTTTATGAGGATTATACATTAGAAAGGGGATAATCTGTACAACTGACTATGAAGATTTGGATCAGAGTTAAGTGAATGTGGAAGTGAAGCTGTAGTCACGAATCTAAGAATTAGAATGTTCATTTAAGAAATTTATGTTATGCATGTCATTATTGTCATTACTGTGGAAAGAAAGCCAATACTCAGGCAGTAGATGTTTTACTGAGTACCCACTATGAGCCAGGCACTGTGTTAGGCTGGGAGGGTACTCGGACCTCTTTTTTTTTTTTTTTTTAATTTGTAAGTACAGTCAATTCTCAGTTCCTATTCTTAAGGCTTCGTGATCTAGGGTAGCAGTCAGCAGACTTTGCTGTAAAGGGCCAGATAAATTTTGCAGTTCATACAGTCTCTGTCACAGCT